GCGAGTGATGCTAGCTCGGTGTGCTAACGCTCTTTAGCTCGCGTGTTGTGGCAATGCAGAGTTTAGGCACAGCAGCAGGGAACACGCATGTAGAAAATACAATCATTGGGGTTTATTGTTTGGATTGAATTTGGTTCTTATGCTTAAATTGGTGTTAGTAGCTGACGTAGCGAACTAGCATCCTTTCACTGCTAACAAATGCTAAATATGGGCATGTATGATGAGTATTAAATGCCTGATCCAAAAAATAGCACAACAGTAGCTTAGCACTCCATTAATCAGTTGTTTATTGTGTCGTTTTACGTTGCTTGAGCTTTGTGGCACCGCCAAGTTGAGTACAGATGCTATGCTAGGCTAGCTCCCTGGCTGTAATAAGTAGTAAGGCTCTCTGCCTTTGTGGGGCTGTAAATGATGCTAGCTCAGTGTGCTAACGCTCTTTAGCTTGTGGGTGTAGCAGTTTGTGGTGCATCAGCAGGAAAAATTAATGCAGACGATATGATTTTTGGTGTTTATTAAATGAGTTTAATTTAGTTTTTATGCTTACCTTGGTTTTAGTAGCTGACGTAGCGAGCTAGCATTCGTTCATGTTCGTATGCTAACAAATGCTTCATATGGTCCTGTATGATGAGTGCTTGGTTTAAAAAACAGCTCAGGATTAGCTTCCTGTAAGCAGTAACTTATTGTGTCCTATGTGTTATTTGAACTTTTACTAGAGAAAGGAGCAGAGATGCTAAGCTAGGCTAGCTCCCTGGCTGTAGTCAGGCTCTCTGCCTTTGTGGGGCTGAAATGACGGAGAGGATTTATGGGGTTTAGGTGACAGGAAGCTTCTGCCTCCGTCCCTCCGTCCGTCCATCCCTCCGTCCGTCCGTCCCTCCGTCCCTCCGTCCATCCCTCCATCCCTCCGTCCCTCCATCCCCCTCCGTCCTGCCCGGCATGAGCGTCTGTCACGGGGTTACGTCTCCACACAGGTGCTGCTCAGCAGGAGGTCGTGACCTCAGTCTGACCTGAAACACAGAAATCAGACGAGAAACTGAGCCGAATGTAGAAGGTTTGTGCAAAATATAGCACATGTTCCAACGTGGAACTGGACCAGGCAGGTAGAAGAGTTTTCAAAATAAAAGACACCAGTAGCAACGAGGCCAGAAAGTCACGATGTCAACAGTAAATAACAACAAATAAAATAAATCCAGTCCTATCAGGAGGGGCTTTAAAAAGAGGCAACACTAAAGTACACTCTGTAGATTAGTCCTGAGACAATAAACTCATCCATAGATCAAAAAATAATCAGTTTGTTCACTGATGAGTCACTTTAATTTGTTTTTAAGCCTTTTAATGCTGAATATTTGCAGAATTTAACGTCTCAGAAAAGAGCTGATCGGCTGCTCTCACTAAACCAAAGATCTTCTGCTTTACTTTGACACTAATTTTCTGCGTTTGCCAACTTTTTAAATCACTGTTTTCTTTGTGGAAAGACACTGTGAGTCGGCGTTCGGCCGCGTGTTTTCAGGAAAATGTGAAAAAAAAAAAACGTCATTGAAACGGGATAAAAGCTCGAAGCAGCTGCCGGCTCTGATACAGAAATACTGTTTGAGTCTCCGACTGTTGAACACAGATAAATTCTGCAGCGACAAACTTTAACCCGCAAAGCCGAGGTGAGGCGTCAAGGTCTAACACACACACACACACACACACACACACACACACACACACACATTCGTCCATTTACTCTGAAGCTCCCACATGGCGACCTTTACTTTTTTTTTCCAGCTTTTGCATGGATGTGCAAGAATGTCAGCGCTATGTGTGCGTCTTTGTGTGTGTGTGTGTGTGTGTGTGTGTGTGTTGTGAGTCAGGAGGGCGTGTCGGCGTGTGCCAGAGTGATGGCCGGGAACAGATGTAGTAACATCACACAGTCACAGTGTGCTCATCCAAACTTAATGCGACCTGTGTTTTGTTCTCACCAAACTCCATTCATATTTTAATCGTTTTTAGGCTTTCTTTCTTGCTTCTGCTGTTTTGTTGTTTTGCTCTCACCAAACTTAGTTGACAGTTTTGACGTTTTTTGGACTTTCTCTCTGGCTTCGGGTGTTTTTTTGTTCTCATCAAACTCAGTTAACATTTTGTTTTTTTGTTTTTTAGACTTTCTCTGAAGCTTCTGTTGTTTTTTTACTCTCACCAAACTCCATTGACATTTTTACCGTTTTTAGGCTTTCTCTCTGCCCTCTGTTGTTTTTTACTCTCACCGAACTCAGTCAACATTTTAGACATTTCAAACTTTTGCTCTGACTTCCTAGTTGTTACGCCGAACGATTAGCTTAAATCGCATCGCAGCGCACTCTAAAATAAACTCGTAGAGACGTGACGACAGCACAGCGGACATGAATCCCAGAGGAGGTTCGGACTCGGTGCAGGTCGTTGGCTTGTCGTCCAACACGTAATAGCGCCACCTCTCTTTCGTGGGATTGATTTTTCTTCCTCTCCGTGGGTTCATCCCTCCGTCTCCTCTCCATCCTTCCTCCTCCTCCTCCTCCTCCTCCTCTCTCCTCTCGCTGCCATCTGTCGCCATTCGTTTCTGCAGGCTGTAAAAAGTGCTGGCCGAGCACTCCGTCGGCCAATCACAGCGTCCGACGGAGTGTGTGTCTGCTCGTGTGTGTGTGTGTGTGTGTGTGTGTGTGTGTGTGTGTGTGTGTGTGTGTGTGTGCATGCACCTGCTGCAGCCCTGTAACAGTTTGTCATGTAAGAGCAGCGATACACTCAGAGGTCAGTGGAAACACAACACAACACTCGCTGCCAGTTGTCGGCAGTCACTCGCGGCGCGGCGCTCATCCTTCACTTCGCTTTTCTTCTTCTGCTGTTTTCTCCGACACGTGACCTCCGGCAGCCGATAAGTCCGAGCGTCACGTGTCGCTTCCAGTTTGAAGTTGAGGCACAAAAGCACATCAAGTCCACTTTTATTGGAAATAAAACATACCTAGTGTCGTGCTCACTTCACATTTTTATTGTTTTTAGATTCTGGTTTCCTTCCTGTGTTGTTCTCAACAAGCTCCACTGACATGTCGAAGCTTTCTCAGCAGTTGTTTTCAGATTTCCATCGTTTTTATTTTTCCTCTTTGGCGTGTCCCGTTTCTTCGTCCCACCAAAGTCCATGGACATTTTTAGCATTTTTAGGCTTTCTTTGTAACGTCTCTCGTAACTTCCTTATTGACTTTTTTGTCAATTTTAGACTTTAGTTCTCACCAAACTCTCTTCAGATTTCCATCGTTTTTATTCTTTCTCGTTTCTTCGTCCCACCAAACTACATGGACATTTTTGTCGTTTTTCGTCTTTCTTCATAATTTTTTTTCTGGTTTCTTTGCCTTTTTTATTTGTATTTTTTATAGTTTTTTTTGTGTGTGTGTGTGTATTCTCACCATAATCCACTGACACTTTCTGTGTTTTTAGACGTTTTGGGTGTTTTTAGATTTTCAGACTTTCGCTCCGGCGTCTCTTCTTTGTTTCCACCAAACTCTATTGATGTCTTTGTCATTTTTAGCCTTTTCCTCTCTGGCTTCTCCTGTTCTTCTACCCAACAAACCTCATCACATCTTCGTCATTTGTTTAGACTTTCACAGCAGCTTCTCCTGTTTGTCACCAAACTCCAGTGACGTTTCCGTCATTTTTAGTTCTTGCCCAGTCGTCACCTGTTTGCTTTTTGTTCTTAGATATTTGAATTGTTTTCAGACGTTCTAGTTGGTTCTCTGCTCTGTTCACACTCCTACCGCCGTCGTCGTTCTCTTTGGATCCTCCTGTTTTTTCTTCTCTTCAGATTTCCATCGTTTTTATTCTTTCTCGTTTCTTCGTCTCACCAAACTCCACGGACATTTTTAGGCTTTCTTTGTGGCGTCTCTCGTAACTTCTTCGTTGACAGTTTTGTTATTTTTAGGCTTTGGCTGCTACGAGTTCTTTTTAATTTGTTCTGACCAAACTCCATTAACGTTTTGGTCATTTTGAAGCTTTCCCTCGTGATCCGGCCGTTTGTTGTTCTCACCAGACTGCCATCAGCATTCTTCAGCGCTTTCTCTCTCTGTGTATGTTTGCTGCTTTTCCATCTTCCTCCTCTCTTGGTTTTTCTTTGAACGAGGAATGCGAAACACCCTCTAGCACACACTACAGAGCCTCTCTCTGAGCTGGAGGAGGAAGTGGCCGGTCTTCCTGTGGGGGCTGCCGAACGGGAAGCAGTAATTACCCCTCCTCTCTGAGAAAAGCCCCCCTCTCTCCTCCATCCTCCTCCGTCTTTGCCCTCCATCTCTCCCTCGCGAGGCTTCCTGGCCCCGGTGTAAAACAGGTGTGAGGGCTGTAAAAGCCCGGCGTTCGGTCCCCTCTGGTCCAGTCGGCGCTGAGCCAAAGCTGCTCTCGTTCGCTTATAGATCGAAGGTCGTCCTCTGCTGTCTCCCTTCATCCATGTTTCTACTGTGGAGATAAATCAGAGCCTCGGAGGGAAACACGAGCAGCAGCTGAGGATGCTGCGAACGCGCCGCTGTAGCGTTTGAAATATGCAGCCAGGGCTCGATCCTGTCAACAAACTCCTTCCTGTTTTTCCTTTTTAAGCGCTTCTGTGTGACTTTAAAAAATTGTGCATTTTCTCTCCGGTGAAACCAGACACTGCAGCGGCCAACGCTGCTGAGCTCCTGTGCTATTCTAATCTCAGGCAGCCTTCAACCTTCACACACCAGCCTCCACTGAAAAAACTCCTCGTTTAATGTGTCCTCATTTGACAGGGGAGAGTTAAACCCGCTAAAACAACCTGTAGGAGCTCCGCCGTGTCGCCCCGTTGCACCACATGCACTGTGCAAACATCCCGATTCAGAGTTTTCTGATGTCAGGTCCTGCTCGCTGAAACATTTCTCAGCTTTACTTCCCTCTGTGTTCGCGCTTCATGTCAGCTGATGTGCTGAGAAACTGTCAGACTCTTCAATGGAGTTTGCAGATTTACAGAAAGGCCGTGTTCGTTTGTATTTCAGCAGTCATGGAAAACTCCACAGAGGAGCTGCAAGAAGGGGGAGGAGCCAACGCTGCGATAAAAGACGAGGAGGCGGAGCTGACGGAGGAGAAAACGCACAATAACCTCAAAGGTACGCACCAAACTCCATTCAAAGTTAGACGAGTTTCAGCCCGAGAGGACGTTAACCAGAACCTCCTCCTCCTCAGGAGCGATCAACGGAGTGATGGAGGCGGCGAACGGAGGAGAGAAGCTACAGAACGGAGACCGGGGAGGCGGCGGCGGCGGCGGAGGAGGAGGTGGAGGCATCATGGGAGCCGAAGGAGGAGGAGGAGACCTGTCCTCCATCAACGCCATGATGTCAGCGGTGATGTCAGCAGCAGGGACCATCAACGGCGGAGGGGATGCAGAAGGAGGCAGCGGAGTCACTTCGGCCAACTCCTCCGCCGGGCCCTCGCCGAGGTGACTGCAGGCCTTTAAAGGAGCATTCTGCTGTTTTTGTAAAATACTTTGAACTGATGTTCAAAATAACTCAAAATGAGACACAGAGACACAAAAATTACATTAAATAAGAAGTAATATGTAAAGAAGTTGTCATGCGACTGTCGGTCACAGCTGAGCCACTCGCGGCTTCACGGTTCCACCGAGGAGCTCCGAATTTTTAGTTTTTTACACAATCCGGTTTTGATAAATGGTGCAATTTTAAAACAAAACAAAAACACGGGATTCACAGGGTTGAAGTCAAGATTTATTTCTTGTTTTCATTCAGAAGCGGTGCATTCAGAGGCAGTCGGACAGCTGAGAGTCGAGTCAGCTGATAAAAGGGGAAAAAGAAACTGTTTTGAAAGTTAAATGGAGGACATAAAACATGCAAACTCAGTTGTTTCTGGAGTTAAAAAGCCGGAGCGTCCCTGAACGCACCAGCAGAGCGACGAGGAAACGTCTCGTCTCTGCTCTGGCTCTGATTATTTTTGCACTTTAACGACTCATTTGTGTGCCGTTAATATTAAATCTGTGTCGACAGTTCATAGGTTGTAGAGGCACTGACAGGATGAGAGAAGGATGAAGTTCAGTTTCAGATCAGTAGAAACAAGGAAGCTGCCTGAGAGTGATCACGTTCTGAAGTTCAGGATCACACGGATCCAGTGGGTTCAACAGGAAGCGCTAACTCGGCTACTTTTAGCGGCACCAGTTTAACAAAATGTGGAGGAACTGTTCAGATTTAGATCCAGCAGCAGGACAAGTCCACCGGAGGAGAGAGTTTAACCAGATAAGGCGACTCAATGCTCTTTGTTCTTCTCCCCTTGCAGCCCTTCACCCAGCAAGTCGCTCACGGCGGCCATGCGAGCCCCACCGAGCCGCAACGCCCGCCGCAACCAGGTACGCAACGCAACGCAACGCAACGCAGCGCAACGCAACGCAACGCAACGCAACGCAGCATTCACTGTGTTACAGCAGTTGGTTTGTCTCCTCTCCTTGTTTCCTTTCCTCATCTTGTTTCCTCGTTTCCTCTCCTTATCCCCTCTCTGCATCTTCTCCCCTCGTCTCCTTTCCGTCTCTCCTCTCCTCGTTTCCTTCTTCTCGACTCGTCTCCTTCTCCTCATCTCCTATTCTTGTCTCCTCTCCTCTTCTCCTTTCCTTCTCTCGCCTTCCTCATCTCCTTCTTTGCGTCTCATCTCCTTGTTTCCTCTGCTCGTCTCCTCTACTCATCTCCTTCTTCTCATTTCCTCTCCTCATCATATTTCCTCCTCCTCTCCTCTCCTCTCCTCTCCTCTCCTCTCCTCTCCTCCATGTTTCCTCCCCGTCGCTCTGCTACGTTTCCCATCCTGCATTGCGTCATTCCTCGCCGCGTCATCACTTCCTGTGTCTCAAACAGGAAACGTGAAGTGCTGCGTGTGTGTGTTTGTGTGACCAGAAGAGCCGAGGTTGTGAGGACGTTCCTGCTGCGTTCCTCTACTGTGTTCTGGAGCGTCCGATAGCTGATCAATAACAAGCTGATCAATAACAAGCCGATCAGAGGGGCGATCGATCGTTGCTGTGCCGCAGCGAGCCACCAGGGGGCGATCCAGCTGCACTGCATCACATGAGTTGTTCATTATCGAGCATTTGTTTATAGGAAGGCCGAGCGGGTTCAGAATAAATGTGTTTATGTTTCGTCGCAGAAGATGAGTTCAAGGACCGTTGGAAAGTTGAACATCCGACGATTCTTTCTGTTTTTACCGTTCAGTTGAAAACACGGCTTGCCCTTCTCACCCACCTGCCGGGTCAGCGAGCTAACGTCCACCTGTGTGTGTTGTTTCTCTCACCAGGACACCAAAGACGACAGCTCGACTCACATCTGTCCGCTGTGTGACAAGAGCTGTCAAACGCAACACCAGCTGACCATGCACATCAGACAGGTACGTCCACGCCGCACTGAACACGCCACAACAAAATTAAAAAAGCACACCTGTGTGAGTGTCGTTGCTGAGCCGACCGGTGTGTCTCCGCAGCACAATGCCGACACCGGAGCCACCGACCACTCCTGCAGCATCTGCGGGAAGTGCCTGAGCTCGGCCTCGTCGCTCGACCGACACATGCTGGTGCACAGCGGAGAGAGGCCCTACAAGTGCAGCATCTGTGGCCAGACCTTCACCACCAACGGCAACATGCACAGGTACGCACACACACACACACACACACACGCACACACCGGCCAATCAGAAGAGACACACATTGTCCAATCAGGAGAGACACAAACATGCTGGCCAATCAAAAGCGAGACTCACTTCCTGCAGTTCAGCCGAAAATGCTCATAATTTTTGTCACGTGACCGTTGATCACAGCCGAGCAGGTTTCGGCTCCACAGCTGCATCAAGGAGGTCAGAATTTTTTGTTTCCGGCAGAATCTGGTGAGAGCAAAGCGTTTTCCAGATAACACAGTAATCAGTATTTAGTTGTTTTTTCCTTCAGAGGCAGAGAGTTGAATCTGCTGATAAACAAAAACATCTTTGTTAAAAAGTTGAATCGAGAACAGAAAAAATGAAAATGAGTTTTGTTTGTTTGTTTTTTTTTTTTTAATTAAAAATCCGAAAGTCAAGCCGTCCCTGAACGCACCAACAGAGCAAAAACGTGAATAAACGTGTAAATCTGCAGAGCAACACAAGAGATAAGCTGCTTGAGCGTTAACGCGTTTTAATGTTGCGTTCAGGACCGCAGCGATCCAGTGGGACGTCTCTGCACGCTGGTGGCTACAAACAGGAAGCGCTAATGGCTAATTCGGCTACTTTTAATGGCACCGGTAGACTAAATGTGGGCGGGGGGGTTAAACAGGAAGTGGGAAGACGGCTATAAACCAACAACGCACACACACACACACACACACACACACAATCTGAGCAACGCCCAGTCATTTATCAGCGACATCCAGCCTCCACCATGACAACAACCAACCGTCCCAGCACAGCGGTGGTCTGCTTCGTCTGTCTGTGGACATCAACATGAATTATCTCAGACTAGTTGAATGTAGTCATCAGGAACAAATCTGTGAAATTAGACGTTTCAGAGATCGACTGTCGGAGCGTCACTGATCAGAGTGTAAACAGAGCGACTGCTGTTTCTGAATGTTGTCCTACGAGCATCTTCATCGCTTTAGCAACGCAAAACTAGAGACGAACAGAACGACTACAAAAGGGCAAAAAGTGACCGCAAAAGACGCAAAACAACCACAAAGAGGCACGACGATAATACACAACAATACACAAAACATAAAATACACAAAACAGCTACAAGAAAAACACAAAATGTCTCCAAGTAGATGCAAAACAACAACAAAGAGACACAAAACAACAACAAAGAGACACA